CTCTCTTGGAAAGGTGTCCATCAGTCACCCCACAGAAAGCCTGGCCATTCATCTACTGTGCCTCCTACAGAGGGCTGCAGTGTGTTGGGGGTCTGGGGATCTAAGTATAGAAACTTTAACATTTTAAGAAAATAAAATAATAAATGTGGCATTTTGCACTCTTCTCTGTAGCCTAGGCCCAAGAAATCACCAGCAGAGTCCATTGTACAAATGCCTTTTACTCTATTATCTAATATACAGTTTAATGGCAACCGCATAGAAATCAGTTGTATGCACAAAACTCTACACAATAAAGAGATTTGGGAGTGTAAGGAAATGTTTTCCATCCATTCTAAGATACCAGTTGTCAAGTATTTAGGACCCCCTTTCTTCAGAAGGAAGCCAGTAGGTTAGAAAGGATGAAAGGTAACGCCTAGGTTTAGCTCCAACAAACCCAGCTCCCTTTCAACCTCAGCTTGACCTGGCCTGCAGAACTATGTAAACATGAGCTAATTACAATGCCGAGCATTTCATAGGATTTCTCTCTCTCTCTCTCTCTCTCTCTCTCTCTCTCTCTCTCTCTCTCTCGACCCAATGTCAGGCTAAACTTGACCAGTAGTATCAGCAACAGAACACCTTCCTTGCTTGCTTAAGAAAATGGTTACAGTTATTTCTCTAAGTCCATTTGAGAAGCATTAGGATTCTGGTTAGTGCCTAGGCTGCGTGGAGCCTTGGGGTCCATTCCAAACTCTGCCAAAAACAAGCTAAAACAAAACATGGATTATTATGAGCTGGCCTTATTATTTGCTGTCGTAGCCTAAGTATGATTATTAAACATGCTTATTAAAAACAGAGACTTGCTGCAAGAGCATTGTCTCCAAGCTGTTTTACCAAACGAAGTACACACTTGATTCCTGGGGCACAAAGGGGCTAAGTCAACAGCTGGTCCTTTCTCCTACCTTTTTGTCTTCTACAAAGTCTCCACATAGCATTCTCACAGGGAAACACACACACACACACACACACACACACACACACACACACACACACACACACACACACAGACGCGTTCTATTGCTGACTCCTTGGTTTGTTTGGGAACTGCTTATCCTGAGAGTTGTGGCTTCAAATTCTCTATTTGTTCTTCTAGCTTCTTGGAAGGGTAAACAGTTTGAAAAGTTAAAGCCAGTAGCAAAATAAACCAGCAGCTAACCACGCAAACTTCACTCTTATCCAGGCCTGCTCGACTGTTGGGGAGGGTGGGTAAGAAAAGAAATGCGGTGCTGTGCAGTGCTGTGCGGTGCGGTGCTGTGCGGTGTGGTACCGTGCGGTAGGACACTTTTTGACTCCATGTTTTCTGCTCCAGGTTGGACCATTGTCACAGCCAGCATGTTGTAAACGCTGAACCGGGGCTACACTAACAGTAGGTGTGGGTGAAGGCTTCCTGGGGAAACTCAGTGTGTAATGCCATCACTTTTTCTGTGGTCTCTTCCTCTGTCCTCACCTTCCCGAATTCTCGCACACACCCGAGGAGAGAAAATGGACAGTTTGCTCTACAGGCGGGCGGGGACAAGGGTCCTCACATATCTTCTTACCTCATTCCTCTGTTGGGTAAGAGCTGTTGTCAATCTCTTGACCCTTATCTCAAACAAACCGCCGCTGTTCTTGACAGGGACATGTCGTTGGTGCTGCCATGGATATCAACACAGGAGAAAGCACTCTCCGCGTTAACACGTTAGTAAATCGTTACTTAGCGTCTGACACGAAAGTTCTACCCACTTAATGATCGCAGCCCAGTCAATGTTTGCTAAATTTAGAGGCAACTTGCTATTTAAATTCTGTAGCCTGGGGAAATAAAATGGCATTTTGCCAGGTCAAAAAAAAATTGTTAGAGTGAGTGGAGCATGGCCCATGTGGCCAAAGACACTTGTGACTCAGTGTCCTGTCGCTAGAACCCATGTAGTGGAAGAAGACCGACTCCCCTGACCATCACAGGCGCACCGTGGCACGTGCACACCCACACACACATGCAAAATAAATAAGCAGAACCAAGATGGGGGAACCTCACAAAAGTTGTTTGGAAGATTCCAGGGATATGACATTTGCATGTTGCCGATAAGGTGCTGAAGGCAAGCTTGCACTCTGGCTGGCAGTCACAGTCTGCAGGTGTCCTTGTGAGACTCCCACCCTCCCGAGGAAACCGTGTGCCAGCCTTTCTTAGCAGTGGCCGCTGCTAGGTAGGTTTGTGAGCCTTGCATCTAGCTGCCGGTCTGTTTAACGACAGGATTGGCCATTTCTTTCTTTCGGCAATTTTCGGCTCCTAAGAGGCAGAGCTACGACCCGTAATCTAAACAAGCGGCCCTGTCAGGTGTATCTTGTAAGAAGAATAAAGATAAAAAGCTTGAGCTGAGCAAACCTCAGTCTGTAGCATAAAAAATGGGAGAAGCCATGTGGGAGGGAAAGGAAAAGAGACAAAATCAGTGTGTTGCTTCCGACGTGTGCCTGAGGGGACTGACTTCAGAGGATCCAAGGACCTACGGAGTCAGCACATGGGCTAAAGCTACTCCTTTAGCAAATAATTGTGCTTTATGATGATGGATATGCTTTAGAATGGATGCCGAAATTGAGTCATGCCGATGGGAAGTTTTTGTCAGTCAGTGGTTCCCAATGATAGATTAAACACGCTCTATTTCTTATTGGGGGGTGGGGGAACTGAGAGCATCTCAGAAGTCAAAGCCAGAAGAAAGAAAACGCATTCAGTGACAGGAATGGAACTTCAGAACTTTCTGGAAAGGCCGTTTTGGAAGAGGGCAGAGCAAGCTCCACAGAGAACAAGGAAAGCAGGTATGTCCCAGAGGCATTCTGCTAGCTCTGGGGGATGTAACTAAGGCACTCTGAGTGTCTTGCACAGGAAGAGACGGGCCACACTACCCTCCATTCAATGTCAAGGGGCAGCAGCAACAGCCACCTCCGAGCCATGAACCTGGTGGCTTCAGGCACCCTGCGTCAGGAGCCTTCCGAGCTTTCCCCACAGGCTGGTTGGTACATCTTCCTAGTATAGATGGAGCTCTCTGCTGGTCACAGCAAGCCTAGGGTGTGCATGTATGGGTGTGGTGGACAGCACATGAACATGTTGCTTCCTACACCGGAGAGCTGTCAGACCATCTACTGCGCAAAAGGAAAACAAGTCGACATAAGCAAGACCTATCTAGGCAGGGGTCCCACACCAAGCTGCTGGCAGGAAAAGGGAAGCCCAAATGGCAGGAGATGATGCAGGATGCCACCACCTTGTCAGACTGAAGGCCACATCTGCATACACGTGACTCTACAGAAGGTTAGAGACAGCTGTGGAAAGTTGTGAGATTGACCTGTAAATACAGTAACCCGGAAGCAGTTTCTGGGTGAGTGAGTGGATTTGGTGAGAAGGAGAATTCTAAGCTTCAGGATATAGATGTCCAGTTACACTTCTCTACGGTGAAAAACCACATGGAAGGTTGGTAGGTGATAGGGACTTAGGGTGTCCCACACATGGTGGACAGCCGATGACAGCCAGATCATCTTACTCTAGTTGGAGTTACTATGGTGGTAGTGAGCCTAAAGCAAACCACCGAAGCCAGGGCTTCAACTTCCATAGCCCGTTGTTCAGGAAAGGACCGAGGGAAAAAAGTGCTGGTTTAAGGGGAAGGTGAGTTGACTTCCAGGCATTGAATCTGGACTGGTGACACCACCAGTCGGATGTGGGTTTGAGTCCCTGGCATAACTGAAGACAATCAGCTCTCATTTTCCTGGGCTCTTTCCAAGGATGGGAACCTAAGGCCATGTTTATTCATTTTTATTGCTTTTCTTTCAAAAAGGCATCCAGATTAAAGTCAGAAACGATTCCCATGGGATTATAATGGACAATAGGAGATCAAGGGTTCTAAGAGCCTTGTGACTGTTCTTAGAAGAATAGAAGGGTCACCAGGGAGGCTACAGAGGCAGAGGGAAGGCCCCTGGGCCAGAACCAAGCTGCAGATCAAAGGCAGAAGGGAGGAGGATGGGCCACTGGGCTTGACTCCTCTCAAGCGGCTCTTTTCTTATGTTCGGAGAGCCCACCATGTTGCACAGGCTGGTTTCAAATTCGTAGGCTCAAGCCATGCCCTTGCCTCAGCTTCTGGAGTAGCGGGACCACAGGCAGGAGCGGAAAGGGGCTGGTCTTAGAACACATGCTCCCTACAGTGTGAGGTCACACAGGCCCGCAGGGCTTGGAGCAACAGGGAAGAGAGCAGCCTGGCCTCGGAGGGGAAAGGGGGCTGGCCTGGTGACCCCTGCAGAATCTCTGTGAGTTGGAGGGCAGCCTGGTCTACAGAGCGAGTTCAAGGTCAGCCAGGGCTACATATAGAGACTCTGTTTCCAAAAAAAAAAAAAAAAAAAAAAAAGTCAAATAAAAAGGGAAAAGAACACCATCTCGCAGCTCACACTTAACACTTGTTACTCTTTACCTGGGTAGCAATCAATATTCATTTTGACTGACATGGGTTCCTAGCCCGAGACCAGCCTGGATATTTTCAGTGTTTGTGAATCATGAAATATATATAAAATCAATGGCCAAAGAACCATCAAGAAATAGGCAGGCACTGTTTTGGAGTCTAGATAGTTGGCCGATTGGAACTAGCACTTTCTCTTCTCCTAGGCAAGGCTCGCGTTAGGAGGTGAGGAATTGTGTTGCGGAGTTCAGGAGCTGAGGGCCTGGTGGAGTAACTCAGACCCTAGAGCTTGGGCAAGTTCTGTTCGGTTATCTGGGCGCACCCAGAAAAGGGTAGGATGACTTCATTCCCGCAGAGGGCGCTTCCCGCCCGGGCAGCTGAGGTGCCAGCAGCCGGTTTGTCCAGGATAAGTTTTCTTTAACTACTCAACTTCTCTCTGCCTGGCGTCGTCGCAAGTCACTTTGAAAAAAAAAAAAAAAATGCGATTAGACCGACTTCCCTGTTTCCTTCAATGAGTGGGCGGGCCCTTCCCAGTTCCCAGACAGAGCTCCTTCATTCAGTCAGATCTGCCATGCTTTTTTTTTTTTTCCTTTAATAAAGCTGAAAAGTTTGTTACCATCATTGAGAAAAAGGAACATAAAGGAGAGGGAATGGAAAGGAGGGGGGAGGGAACGGAGGGGAGGGGAAGGAAGAGAAGAGTTGGGGAAGGGAGGGGTAAGAAGGGGGGAGGGAGAAGAAACAATTTGGCCTGCGGCACAGAGGACCTGATCTCCAGATTGCTCTGGACCGCCAGGGAACTCGACTATCGCTGCCCAAAGCTCGGGGAAGAAGCTATGGTGGAGCGGAGCGTGCTCCGCGCGGAGGTGTGTGAATGTGTGCGAAGGTGCGTGCGTGCCTACGAATGTGTGTGGGGTGTTCATGCGTGTGCGCAGGGGAGGGTGTCCAGCAGACTGCTGCAGAGGTTCCTTTGTGGAAGGCGGTGACCTGCTCGGTAGCGAACGTGGCGCCTCCCCCTCGCTCCCTCGTTCCACTAGGACACCAGGACTCATCTTCGCCCTGCGGCAATTTCCATCTCCCTCGGAGGTTGCCCGCCCAGCCCCGCGCCGGTCTTCAGGTGCCAGGAGCAGCGTGCTGGGCGGCGGCTTTCGAGTCTCGGGAGCCCGGAGCTGGCTAGGGCGAGCACGGTGGCGGTGCCGTTCGGGTGGAAGGGGGAGCGAGGGAGGCAGCCGAGCAGGAAAGGGCGTGCTGCCCTTTGCGGCCGGCTCGAGGAGCAGCCGGGTAGGCAGCATTGTTACCTGCAGCGGCCCCGCCCCTCCGCACCGCCCTGCCCCCTCGCGGTCCCTGGCCTGCAGTCCTGCGGAGAGACGGCGGCGCCGGGACAGCGGGCGGAGGCTGCGCGGGCGCCGGGAGCGCGGGCGCGGTGAGTGCGGGACTGGAGAGGGAGCCGGGGCTGCGAGGCTGGCTTAGGGGATGCCGGGCCGAGCGGCGGCGCCGGGAGGATGCGGGGAAGCGCGAGCTCCGCTCCCCACTCCGGGGACCTGGTCTGTGAGCTCAGGCCCTGTGCCCCGAGGCGCACACGCGCCGGGCTGGCCCCGCATTGGACCCCGGAGCTCGGTTGCGGCGCTACCGGTGGGTGGGACTTCGGGGGTTCGGTTAGCTTTCTTGGCACCGACGCAGGTCGCGCAGGTCGCAGGAGCCCCTCTTAGCGAGGACTCGCCCCGGCCACAGTGGTGTGGGGCTTCCCACGCCTGCACACCTCCCTGGAAGTTGACGTCCGAAGTGGCGCCCGCGCTTGTGGAAGAGTAGGGAAGCAGCAGCGGGCTGGCGGTCATCCCCGGTCCCTGCGTGTGCCGGATCTCCACCTCCAGCCCGAGACTCCTTTTTGCGTTTCTGTCGCGGGCTGATCCCCTCTCCCTTGGTGTAGAGCCGCAGTGCGGCCGTGAGCCCTTCTCCTCGGAGCCCGAGCTGGGGACCACTCGGGGTCGCCGCAGCGATAGTCCAAGCGGCTGGCGACCACCGATCCTAGAAACACGGGCTCCGCAGTGAACCGGGCGCCCGAAGTCGGCTGGGACACTGGGACAGGGCGAACCACTCCGGGTCGGGTCGGCACTGGGGGAACCCCTAGGGGTAGAGCAGCTGGCGCGGACACTCCGATGGCCTCTGAGCTGATCGGGAACTGGGATGTCCCGGGCCTCCTGGCAGCGTAGGGTCGAACCCTTCTCAAGAAGGCTGTTCTTACTGTCCCAGCCGGGGAGCCTGCGCGGCGCGTGTGGGCGTCTCTCCGCCGCGACGCGCGCCTTCCCGGCCCAGATAAGGCGGCCTGTGGGCGAGCGCGGTCCAGGGACCGCCCACTCGGAGCCCGCCTGCTGTCCTGGGATCCTAGGCTGCGCGGCTGCTGGACACTGGTGGCCTTCGGGGACTCGGGCTAAGCGCAGCCGGAGCCGGCGGAGCCGGGGGGCACTTTGGTGAGTGGATCCGTCCGAGCGCTGTACTAGAGACCAAAGGAAGTGGTGAGCAAAGACTTGGGAGGTAACTGTTCATCTTGCCTGGAAAGATATCGTGTCCTGGCTGCTCCCTCCCTGCCCTGGTCGGGGCGGCTTTCATAAAGACCTGGAGCTAGTGTGTAAAGAAATTCTGCCTTGAGTTGGGCCCTCCGCGGACACTCTATCTGGTCCCCAGTTGCCTTTCTGGAGCGTCTGTCTCTCCAGGAGCATCCTTTGGCACTCCCGGGCCTATTCTCCCTGGCTTGGGGCCTGGGAGAGAAGGAACTGAAAATGTGCGTTCAGAAACAGGCGTTCTCTCGCAGCTGTGAATGTTTGTTTATGTGATGTGACAGATTAAACCTGCCGTCATGGATTCTCGCTGCCGGCTGAAGTGCCAAGTCAGGCTGTGTTGCTCGCAAACTGGTTGTCTATTTCTTAATCAAGAAAGGGTTTGAAAAGACAGGTCGAGGTGGAGGAATGTTCCTTCAGGAGTGAGTAGAAAGAAGGGAATAATATTTTAGAAAGGCGGGAACTTGCCCCGGCCCCGGCCCTCTTTTCCCAACTAAGAATACTGTGTAGCTCAGTCTTTTCCTCAGTTCATCAGGTGTACCGTCCGGCCTGCACTTCCAACCCAGGCCTCATCTGTGACACATGTCGGGATGGAAGAGGAAAGTCATCTGGCGCTGGGTCACTTTTTATTATTGTTGAGCAGAGCGGTCTAGAGGAAGACCCTGGTTAGCAGTGAGGCAGGAGCCAGACCGCTCTTCTAGGAATTCTTAGGAATATTCTTATTCTAACCCTGTGTGCTGGCTGATCCTACGCTTAGGTGAAATCCGAAATACCGAAATCCGAGTTAAAAGGTGCTCAACTGAGCAGCATCCCCTCCAGAGAGAGGGGTAGCACCCCCACCTCTGATGGACCATGGTTATCACTCCGAGGGCTTGGAGATGGGTTCTGCCTTCAGAGAGCCTATTTGTGACAGTCCTGCATTTAACAGCTTCCTCCCTGCTGCTGAGGTCCCCCTGTTGGGGAGATGTTAAATACAAGCCTGCCTCTGTTTGTCCTGGGGAGATTGATGGGATACTTGATGATTCCCAGACAGAACCAGGGCCGACCCCATTGTCCCTGCCACCGACTGTGAGAAACAGGCAAGGGGTGTCATCTGTCAGGGTGTTTGCATCACCCAGCATCCTTGAGAGTGGGCAGTGTCATCTCTGCTGTGGACAGTATGATGGACTATTTGTTGTGCATCCTCTATTTTAATACCACATGGGACTGGAAGGAGCCGGAACGCTGTCTGTGCCCTCTTGTTCCTGTCACCACTGTAGCATTGGAGACCCTGCCCAGGGTCGGTAGTAGGGACGCACGATGAAGTAATGGTATAAAAGCATGAGCATGTAGCTAATCATCACCAGTGAACTGACTCAGTTGATGCTGTTGGGAGCTAAGATCTTTGAGTGTTGTGTGTGTGTGTGGGGGGGGGTTGCCAGATAAAGGGACCAGGGACTGTATGGTACATTTCCCTTTGTCCCTCTAACGTCTTAAAATGACGTTCTTCTCTCAGGGTGGGAAGTATAGAGTTGTATCAACGCACAGTTTATGTGTGGCACTTTTTAACTATTGCAAGTGTTTATCCGGTACTTGGGCTGTGCATAGCACAGTACTCAAAAAGTCTTCGTCCTTTGGGCTGTAGATGTCAGAAGACAGTGATTGATGATGTCACACTGCCTTTGAGTATTCAACCTTGTCACTTCAGTGTTTCTACCTATGCACTGAGGGGGTTAATACTACACCTTTAGGTATACTTAACTGATACAGAATGAATTATCACTTCCTAGATCAGTGTTTTAACTTACCCCCTCCCCTAGCCCCTCAGTGCTGGGGATCCAGTTCAGGGCCTTGGGGGTAGAGGACATGCCTGGCGTGCATGAAGCTTCTGTGTTCAGTCCCCAGCACTGGGTGGAGGTGGGGTGAGATGATGTATAAATATATCAGTATATGTGGGCCTGGAAGTGAGTTGGAGAATTAGCAGCTTTTTAAGGGTTATTTTATGCATAGAAAGTATATAAAATATGTAAGAATAAACTGCCAGGATGACCTGTACAGTCTTGAAAAAAAGAGGAGTTCAAATGTAACTATAAACTGTAATTGACAATGAGTCATGATCGCTTTAGGGGTGCCAAGTATGAAGACAGCCTAGTTATGCCCCTAATGGTAATTATGAAAACTCCTTCTAAAAGCCAGTTCCGTGTCTAGTGAACCAGAAATCAGCTTAGATACATACGTCTGGATAACTTTACTTAGGTGCTACCTACCCAGTGGTGACCACTGAATACACCGATACCACTGAAATCATGGAAGTGATTTTTTATTTATCAAATTGTTAATTGGGAATGTCGTTTTCTATTCAATACTTAAATTGTCCGGGACTGAACTTGTAGCTTAGTGGTAGAACACATCCTTAGCAGGTGGGTTGAATGCCCAGCTCCAAAGTGAGAAAAAAAGGGCTATAGGCTCAGCAGCTAAGGGAGGGCTGCCTGGTTGGCATGCAAAAGGGCTGGGCTCACTCCCCAGCTCACAAATAATGAACAAATAAACAAACCTCAGACAGTTAAATCTTTCATAAATGCATTTGTCCCATAACAGAGACAACAGCTTAGCATGTGGCCACTGAGTATTAAAAGAGAGCCGGGGGGAAATCTATCTTCAAACTCTGGTAGCAAAGTGAAGATATTACACATATTTCTAAGCAGCCAGGACTTTTGGCATCTCACCTCTAGACCCAAGACATGTTTTTTTCAGATTTATTATTATTTTTAACTGTGTGTATGTACGTATTAGTGCACATATGTGCATGTATGTGCATGAGTATGTGTACTTGAGTGCAGGTAGCCTTTGGAGGCCCAAGTGTCAGATCCCCTGGAGCTGGAGTTACAGGTGATTGGGAGCCACCTGACATGGATGCTGAGTCCTTGCAAGTCATTTTAAGCAAATGAATTATCAGTGAGGATAAATGGAAACAGTGCGCACAAACAATTATTAGAAATAGTTAACTACATTCCTGAATTAGCGCATTTTTCTTACACAAGCCAGTGGGAAAGGTATTCTCCGATTTCATAGATGAAAAATGCTGAAATGTAGGTGAGGTCATCCACCTCTGCTCAGATTGCAGCTCGAGGAAGTTGCAGAGCTGGGCTCTGAAGGGACAGTGTCTCTAGACTCCACTCTCGCTCCCCAGGAAGTCCCGCCTATTATATGTGGTTGTATGTACAAGGTTTCATAATGTCTGAATTAGGGACATCCTACGGTTTATCCTGTGTAACCCAGTGTTGTGTGAACCACTTGTGTCTGCAAGTCGAGGCTCTTCTCACGGTGATGACATAAGCTGATAATTATAGCCAGAAAAGTCATGTAAAAAGCTCCCTCTTCACCTCTTCACCCCCTCTCACCTGCCTCCTTGTGAGAAATGTGGTTATTTTGACCCTCTTTCTAATTCAGTATAAAGCCAAAACCAAACATCTGTAGGTCCATAAAAATACAGATAAGTGAGTTGTATTGATAAGGGCCAGACATGTGGCGAAGCTGATAGGGCAGTGTGCCCTTGTGCATCTCCTCTTTGTCATAGTGTCACAGCAGCAGAAAAGGCAGGCGACAAGGTTAGGGTCTCTGAAGAGTGGTTTTTCCAGAATCTAAGATCACAGCATTCGAAGGGGTGATAGGAGTTATTTAATGTACTGTAACTTTAGAGAGGAGAAAATGGAAGTCTAGTGAGATGATGTAATATGCCTGGCACACTTTTCTCCAGTTGGGAGATCCACATCACCCCGTGGAACAGGAACATGGTGACCCTGGCTCCAGAGAAACGAGCTGGGCCATTATTGTCTCAAGTGCCCCACCTGCTCCCTTTAACATGGAAAATGCCTTTTGACCCAGTGATTGGAGAGAACATGTCCAGACTGGAAAAAGGCAGGGTCACTAAGTAAGCACCAAGCACCTAACACTTCAGCAATTTGGGCAGTTTCCCCAAGGGCTGGGATACATCGTCCAAGAGAGGAAGGAGCCTCTTGGTACACAAGTAGTTTATTCATAAAGGAAAGGCTCCTGGTTTAGAGCAGGCGCTGGTTACGTACGTGCTTCATTGATTAATGGGAGGTTTCCAAACTGGTTTTATTGCTGATTCTTTGGCAGCTTTTCCCAGTAGCAAAGTGTGGTTTGGATTTAGAAAACTATGTGTTCATTCCAGGGTGCCTTGAGATATCCTCTTGACCTCAATATCTACCCATTGTGGGCCAGCCTACCCTGGCCTCCGAAAGGGAAAAGCTAGAGGGAAACCCTTTTCCAGCACTGACTTTAAATTTGCTCCGTCTTCACAGGTCAGAAAGCTGACATGAAGCACAGTTGCCTTCTCTTCTGGCAGCAGACTCGTGGGCCAAGAAGTACGACTAGAGTTTGATGTTTGTGTCTGCTTCTCCAAGGTCAAGGAATTAGCTCCTTAGAAGGCAACAGTACTATGCATGTTATGAATTGTGTCTCCCTGGCCAGCGATAAAGAAAATGGGACTCTTGCCACGGCAGCTGCATTCATGGCTGGGCAGACGTCACCCTCTGCATCTCCTCCTCCTCCACCGCCTCCACCTCCACCTTGTCCACATTCAGGAGAGGGCTTCCTCCCCTCCCCACCTCCTCCTCTGCCACCCCCACTTCCTGGGGGACCTCCTCTCCCCCCTCCTCCCCCCGGACTACCCCCAGTTTCTCACGTGAATGGCTACAGCTCCCTGGGTAAAAAGAAACGGCTGCGAAGCTTTTTCTGGAAAACCATTCCAGAGGAGCAAGTTCGTGGCAAGACCAACATCTGGACCTTAGCAGCCAAGCAGCAGCACCACTACCAGATCGACAAGAAGACCATTGAGGAGCTTTTTGGGCAGCAGGAAGACACCTCCAAGGCTTCTCTTCCCAGGAGAGGAGGAGCTTTGAATTCATCCTTCAGGGATGCCCGGGAAGAGGTGAGAAGGGAACCTGAGGGTGGGGAGGGGGCAGAGGCTGGTGGCCATGTTGCTCTGTATTGGAGTTGCGTGTTTCAGATGATTTGGGAGATTTCACTGAGAAGTGAGAGCATGCAAGCTAGATGTGCTGTGAAAACCACAGGAAGGGCTCTCACACGCCGAGTTGGAGCTGAGCAGCAGAAGTGTAGGGAGTGTGTGCGTGCGTGCGCAGGATCCTCCCAGGCATCCCCACGGATTATGACCTCATACAGAGAACACAGGAGTTGGGGCTGCTGGGCTCTGGCCTCTCAGCACCACCACCCTGTTGCTCACAAACGTGCTGTCGTTTTCTCAGGGAGAGAAGTTCAGCTGGAAGCTAGAGTTTGTAGCCCCGCCTGGGGTGGAAGGCTGGGCTCTGGAGTTCAGCTGTCTGGGATGAGCTGGGGCCATCTGGGATCAAATGCCTTGTCTTAAGTGGCGTAACTACTACTAGACTGCCTTGGGCTTCCTTCCCCTCATCGTGCCCTCAGCATGTGTTTTGGGATGGCCTCCATGCCTCCCATCTCCGAATTAAGTTACGGCCTTTGTGAAGACGGATTACTAAAGAGCCAAAGTATCAGGCTATTTTGAGACAGTTTTTATAAGAAGCATGTTTCTAGTTAGCACTAAATGTGTTTCTCTGAAGGAGGAAGCAGCTGTGAAATTACCAAACACATAATACAACTCAATATAAATCCTTTGCTTTAAATCTGTTGTAAAGGATCGGAGAAAATAGGTTATCAATGGGGCTGCCTAGATAAGAAAGTGGGCGGGGCCCTGGAGTGAAGCATTCGCTCCATGCATTATTGAATTCTTGAGCCAACAGTGTTGACCTCTTTTCTCTTCATGGCTTAGGAACATGTTAACTCCTTCCGCCAGGCCCCGAGGTCCTTTAAGATGGTT